GAGGGCAGGAGCCGTCTGGAAGGGAGCATGAGGTTATGCACTTGTCCTCTGGCAACCAGTCAGCCGCTGAGAATGCCGCGAGCTTGGGCCCCGGAGCACAACAGATGGAGCTCTGGCTTTGCAAATGAGGAGTGCCCCCCGACCCGGTGCCCTGCGGCACTCTCTGAGGTCCCCTTCCCGCCTCACCTCTGCTTTCTGCCTGGGTGCAGATGCTCAGCGGTGGCAGCTCACAGAGCATAACCCTCTAGAGCCGTGGTTGCTCCTCTGAGTTTAATCTTCCAGGGGGCCATGGGTGGGCCGGGCGGCAGTGGATGACGCTTAGGCATGCTGGGGATGGACTGCAGGTACTGTGTGTACCCCCCGTCTTTGCTTTTGTGTGTCTTCCACTGAAATCTTGACGAGTTTCAAACAGGGTGATCTTGGGCCTTGGGTTTCTAGAGTGTAGACATGAAATTATAATGCCCACCACTCCTGGTTCACTGTGGAATGTAGAGAGCGAGAATTCTTCAGTTACATGAAGGAGGGGCTGGCCCTCGCTGAGACGTCGGTGAGCAGCATTGCTGCCGCGGGTGAGTCAGGCGGTCCAGGTGCCATCGTGGTCAAAGCAGGTCCAAGTGTTGGTGTGGCCTCCCACCGGGCCTTTGAGTTTTTGTGGTTGTTCTTGTTGTTTTAAGATACAATTCACATAGCATAATATTAATCCCTTTAAAGTATACAGTCCAGTGGTTTGTAATATATTCACACGGTTGTCCGGCTTTACTGCTGTCTAATTCTGGAATATTTTCATCTCCCCAGAAGGGACCCTGGGCCCAACTGGAGTTACTTTCCGTCCCCTCACTCCCACCCCGGCCTTTGGCAACCACCGACCTGCTTTCTTTCTATGAGTTAGCTTATCGTGAACATCTCCTAAGAATAGAACCATACAATACGTGGCCTTTTGTGACTTGCTTTTTTTCACTGACATCATGTTTTCAAGGTTCATCCATGTTGTAACATGTATCTGAATTGCATTCCTTTTTGTGGCCAATAATATTCCACTGTCTGGATAGACCAGTTCTGTTCCTCTGTTCATCAGTGGATGGGCACGTGGGCTGTTTGGAATCACGCTGCTCTGAACGTTTGTGTGCAGGTTTGCATGGATCGCACGCTTACGTCTGTGAGGACCTGCCAAACTGTTCTCTGAGCTCTGTTTCAGAAGGACCATCTTACTCAGACAGGACTTTAGTGTTAGCTGAGGGAGAGGGTTCTCGGCAGGGCCAGGAGGGGGCAGGGGGGCAGGGGGGCTTGCAACCTGCCCTCAGAGCCACGGTGCTCACAAGGCCTCCGGCCGCGGCCTCCCCATCGAACGCAGATGCCCACTGCCTTGGGCTTGTCTCCCCTGTGCTGACCGTGTTCTCTGCGTTCTCCCCACTTTATTTTTTTTAATTTATCTTATTGAAGTATAGTTGACTTACACTGCTGTTACTTTCTGCTGTACAGCAAAGTGATTCATATATACATATATATTCTTTTCCATGATGGTTTATCCCAGGATATTGAATATAGCTCCCTGTGCTATACAGTGGGACCTTGTTGTTTATCCATTCTCTGTATAATGGTTTGCATCTGCTAATCCCAAACTCCCAGTCCTTCCCTCCCCCAACCCCCTTCCCCTTGGCAACCACCAGTCTGTTCTCTATGTCCATGAGTCCACTTCTGTTTTGTAGATAGGTTCATTTGTGTCATATTTTAGATTCCACATATAAGTGATATCATAAGGTATTTGTCTTTCTCTGACTTACTTCACTCAGTATGATAATCTCTAGGTCCATCCATGTTGCTGCAAATGGCATTATTTCATTCTTTTTATGGCTGAGTAATATTCCATTGTATATATGTGCCACATCTTCTTTATCTGTTCCTCTGTCCATGGACATTTAGGTTGCTTCCACGTCTTGGCTATTGTAAATAGTGCTTCTGTGAACATAGGGGTGCATGTATCTTCTCGAACTAGTTTTCTCCAAATATATTCCCAGGAGGAGGATTGCTGGATCATATGGCAACACTATTTTTAGTTTTTTGAGGAACCTCCATCCTGTTTTCCATGGTGGCTGTGCGACTTTACATTCCTGCCAACAGCGTTAGAGGGTTCCCTTTTCTCCACACCCTCTCCAGCATTTGTTATTTGTAGACTTTTTGATGATGTATAAGTCTGATTAGTCCCATTTGTTTATTTTTGCTTTTATTTCTATTGCCTTGGAAGACTGAACTAAGAAAACATTGGTTTGGTTTATGTCAGAGAATATTTTGCCTATGTTTTCTTCTAGGAGTTTTATGATGTCGTGTCTTATGTTTAAGTCTTTAAGCCATTTTTTATTTTTTGCAATATATGTTTTATTTATTTATTTTTGGCTGCATTGGATCTTCGTTGCTGTGTGCGGGCTTTCTCTAGTCGCAGTGAGCAGGGTCTACTCTTCATTGCAGTGCACAGGCTTCTCATTGCGGTGGCTTCTCTTGTTATGGAGCATGGGCTCTAGGCGCACAGGCTTCAGTAGTTGTGGTGCATGGGCTTAGTTGCTCTGCAGCATGTGGGATCTTCCTGGCCCGGGGCTCGAATCCATGTCCCCTGCATTGGCACACGGATTCTTAACCACTGTGCCACCAAGGAAGTCCCCTTTAAGCCATTTTGAGTTTATTTTCGTGTATGGTGTGAGGGTGTCTTCTAACTTCATTGATTTACATGCGGCTGTCCAACTTTCCCAGCACCACTTGCTGAAGAGACTGTCTTTTCTCCACTGTACATTAGTGCCTCCTTTGTTAAAGATTAATTGTCCATAGGTGTGTGGGTTTATTTCTGGGCTGTCTATTCTGTTCCATTGATCCATATATCTGTTTTTATGCCAATACCACACTGTTTTGATTAATGTAACTTTGTAGTATTGTCTGAAGTCCTGGAGGGTTATGCCTCCTGCTTTGTTCTTTTTCCTCAGGACTGCATTGGCGATTCTGGGTCTTCTGTGGCTCCATATAAATTTTAGGATTATTCTAGTTCTGTGAAAAAGGTCATGGGTAATTTGATAGGGATCACCTTAAATCTGTAGATTGCTTTGGGTGGTATGGCCATTTTAACAATATTAATTCTTCCAATCCAAGAGCATGGGATATATTTCCATTTCTTTGAATCATCTTCAATTTCCTTTATTAATGTTTTATAGTTCTCAGTATATAAGTCTTTCACCACCTTGGTCAGGTTTATTCCTAAGTATTTTTTTTTAATTTTTTTGATGTGATTTCAAAAGGGATTTTTTTTTTTTTTTTTACTTTTGCATTCTCCCTGCTTTAAACCATGCTGCCCTCACCTGTGTCCTGTACCTGTGGGAGTGGTTTGGGCACACAGCTAGCCTTCCTGTGAGGCTGAGATACCTCAAACTGTCTTTATGCACTCGTCCTAGTCCTGGAAATGTTCTGAGCCAAAGAACAGTGTCATTTCAGAGTCTTGGAGAAGAAAATCACAGGTTTTCTTCTCAAATGCGTCCACTTGGTTACAAACAAGCGAGTGGACACGAGGAAGGGTCGTGCCAGCTGGGTAGTCATGGGCACATCCCTTAGCCTCTCTGAGGCTTCGTTTCTTTGTCTGTAAAATGGGTTTAAAATTGCCTACCTGGGAAGGGGATGAAGTGAGGCACTGTAGACATGGCTCCTAGTACGATGCTGAAGATACTCAGAAATACCCTCCCCACTGCAGGTGTGAGGCGCTTATACGGACCACGGGGTTTTTCAGTACCACTCACCCCCCCTCCCTTTTCCCTCCCTCCCCATCTCTTTCCTTTCACCTTTTCTCCTCTCCCTGCGCCTGTGCCTTGCTTTTACCCTGCCCTCAGCTCCTGCCCCAGGCGGCCTTGTGGTCCTCACGGTGTGGACCCAGACCCAGGAACCTGCCAGCTCTCAGATCGCCCGGGGCTCTCAGGAAGGACCAGGCCGAATCCTCTTAGAGCGGATCAGATCATGCCCTGGGTCGTTTGCAGCACAGACTCCCAGGTCAGGGTGGTGGCAGACACAGCAGGCAGTGTCCAGCCTGGCAACCCTGGGTCCCCGGGCAGTGCGGGTTGCATGACCTAGTTTTATCTGTCAGCCTCCCTGGGTCCCAGGTTCCTTCCCCAGGAGACCCTTGCCTGAGCCAGAGTTCTGAGTGCCCCTCGAATCTGGGTCATCTGAGAGGCTGTGCTGTGGGACGACCACCCAGCATGGAGGCCAAGACCATGCCCATGAGGTCCAGGGCCAGACAAAGTGTGGGGATGAGGGCTGCGGGCAGATAAAGGATGAATGAATGAACAGCTTTCCAGGCTGAGGGCTCATGATGCATAGATTATTACTTTTTAAAACTGTAAGTAATAAAAGACTATATGACTAATACAGAAAGTTTAGGAAGCAGAAAAACATGAAGGGACAACACCCCAAATCCCGTCCCCTTGGAGATGAATTTCTTCGAAAGTGCCAGTTAAGGGAATTCTCTGTGCTCTCACTGCTGAGGGCCCAGGGTCGATCCCTGGTGGGGGAACTAAGATCCCACAAGCTGGGCCAAAAAAAAAAAAAAAAAAAAGGTGCCAGTTAATTCAGAAAACTGAAAAGCAAAAAAATGAACCAAAAGGCCCAGCTAGGAATCCCTGTCTCCATTCTGGGACGTGTCTCCCAGGAAAAAGGGGCTTCCCTGTAGCGCCTTTCAGGCCATCCCCTCTGGAACTGCGGGGAACCTGCCCGGAAAAATTCTTCCAGGAACGAGTCCAGATAGGAAGTTCCCTCCGAACAAACAGGCTCTAGGCCCTCTGGGTGAGCTGAGCTCTCCTTAGGAACCAGCTGGCGGCTGCAGCGCAGACAGACAAGTCCCCCGGCAGCCACCCCCTCGCCTCGGGAGATGTGCTGGTCGTATCTCCTCCCCCCGACCCCCATCCCTTCTCAGGCAGCATCGGGTAGCGCAGCCCTGGCCACGAATGACCCTGGTCTGTCTGCTCTCTCGTCTGCAGCGGTCAGGAATGACAGAAACAAGAAAAAGAAGGAGCCTTCGAAGCAGGAATGCACGGAGAGCTACGAAATGACGGCCGAGCTGGACGATCTCACGGAGAAGATCCGGAAAGCCCACCAGGAAACCTTCCCCTCGCTCTGCCAGCTGGGCAAGTACACCACGGTGAGAGGCCCCGCCCACCCCGCCGCGCACGCGCACTCGCACTCGCACGCAGACGCACGTGCGCACGCTCCCCGCCCCCACCCTGGCAGGCCCGGGCAGAGGAAGGAGACGCCGCGGCCGGTCCTCCGGGCTGGCGTCGCAGCAGCCGCCGAGTAGGGTGGGCGTTTCCTCCCGCTTGGTCAGGATGTACAGGTTGGGCACGTGCGAGGCTCCGGGCCAGGGTGAGTGAGACGTGGCTGCTGCTCGCGGGGACCCACAGCCACGTGAAGGGGCTGAGGAGGGCCAGGGAGGCGGCCGGGGGTCCCGGCGGCGGACGCCGGTGCAGAGCCTAGCGGGGACAGAGGGCCGGGCTGAGCCTTTCACGGTCCCCGCTCCAGCTGGAAGAGCCCACCCGGGGGACTGGGCCTCCCCCGCCACAGAAGGTCTGGGGGAGGGGGGGGGTGGGGGAAGGGGCGGCTGGGAAGGCGAAGGGTCACCGAGCTGGGAGGTCCCCCTCTGCTCCCTGTGCTCCCCTGGGAATGGCCTCGCTGAGGGAGAGGTGAAGAGAAGGGGGTGGGGGACAGGTGAGGTCACAAGGCAGGAGGCCTTGTCGGCTGGTCTGGATGTGCTGGTGGAGATGTCTTTAGGTACTTGAATTTTTTAGTGGCTTTTGCATGTGTTTTGTGCGCTGACGTGTATTCCCAGCATGCGGCATTCAATAATATTTGTCGACTGAATGAGTGAGTGCAACTAGAATGTTGTTTTGGCCTCTTTAGTGGCTCACGTTGCCCGTCCAAGATGCTGGTAGACGCGCTTTTTAAAAATCCAAGCATTGCAGTGTTTGCTGGTTTGATTGAGACGTGCTAGAAAAAGAATAGTAGGGAAGGTCATGGGGATAAAAAGGTGAAATGATGATGCGGGTGGGGCCTAAGAACAGCAAGTGGGGCACCGAGGCTGCACGGTGGGTGGCACCAGCTTCTAAAGAGCTGGCGCTGAACTTAGCCGCAAGTCCCCTGGCTGAGCTGCCCGGAGAAGAAGAACCTAGAGCTTGCTCCCCAGTCCTCCGCCAGCTTACAAAGCACCTGGCAGCTATTAAAATGCAGGTTCTGGTTCAGCACGTGTGGGCGGGCGTTGCTCACAGGCTCCCAGGTGCTGCTGGTCTGCAGACCACACTCTGAGTAGCAAAGGCCACGAGCGTACTTCGAGTAGCGAGGCCCAGGACGATTTTCTGGGCCCCCAGGCCCTGGTGTCAGGGACAAGGAGAGACGCTGGCCAGTCTGTGAAGCTCCTGGCCTGGCCTGCTGTTGACTCAGCGGACGAGTCCCCTTTGCGCACAGGGGCGCCACCCAGCCCAGAGCAGACACAGGACGGGGCAGCTTCGGGAGCCTTGAGGTCGGCCTGCGAGGGAAGGCAGGCCCGGAGACCTGGGTGGCGGGTGACGCCGTGAGTCAGGAGCAGGGGTGCTAGGAGTGAATGTGGTTTAAATCCTGCTCTGCCGCCAACCAGCCGTGCGACCGTGTGCACGTTACTTCACTTCCCTTGGCCTCGTTTTTGAATTTCAGTCTGAAGTGGTGGAGAGAAGTCGGCAGTTTGTGATCAGGAGTCTTTATTGTTGTTACGGTCATCATTATTACAGCCAGTACTCACTGAGCGTTTCCTCCGTACCAGAGGCCGCGCTACGTACTCTCGCTGTGTGAATTCTTTTACTCCTTACGGAGGCAACGCGAGGCGGGTGCAGCGCCCCGTATGACAGAGGAATAAGTCACTTTCCCCACGCCCCGTAGCCAGCGGGTGTCCTTGGACGTGGGCAGTCTGACTCCGGGGCAGCTCTTCTAACCCCACACGGCACACCGTGTCTCAGGAGGGTGGGTGACAAGGCAGGGTGGAGACGGGGGACACCAGGCGTCTAGCTAGGAGGACGGGGCTGTTACCCAGGGATAAATCAACTTTCCCTCCAGAAGACAGAGTAAAAGAGAACAGTCCCAGCAGGGAGGGCTTCCTGGAGGTGGAAACTTGTAAGCTAGGTCCCGCGGTGAGAGACACCCCGTGGGGTCATTTGCTGCCCTCCGGGGGCCCCGGCCCTCTTCCCCGGGTTGGGGTGTCAGGGTGGCCTCGTCCGTGCCCCAGGCTCTGCCTCACCTGGTCACCAGGTGAAGTGGCCGCCACTCTGGTCTGGAGGAGGGCAGGGCAAACACAAGTACACACGCCCTGGTGCAGCCTGGGACCAAAGCGCCCCCTTGGGACCGTCGTCCCTCTGCAGGTCAGCACAGCCAGGGACTTTGGTCGGCCTCTCTGGGCCCTTCCCCACCTTCCCTCCCCCAGGCCTCCTGGCGGAATCCGAGAGCCTCTGCTTCTGGATTCTCTTTGTGCCAGAGGTCTGATTTCACCTGCTTCCAGGCCAGTGGGGCCGCTGCCCCGCCTCTGTTAGGGCCCTGCCGGCATCCCGCATCCCTGTGGCTCATCCTGCAGCCCCACGACGCTGCCTCGAGGCTTTTTGTGCCTTTGGGGCAGCGTGCTTCACACGGTGGGGGGCAGAGGGGGGCAGGGTCGACACTCCTGGGAGCAGCCCCGGCCTGACGGCTCCCAAAGCTCTCCAACAAGGTGGAGCCCGGTGCCCACGGCCCTGCCCCAGTCCTCTCCCAGTGCTTCCCAGGACCTCTGCCCACATAAACTGCTCGCGTTGGAATCCTAGTCTCAGGGTCTGCTTCCAGCCCCAGGCAGGGGCTTCCCGGAGAGCCACTAGCGCCCCTTCCCTGCCCCCTCGGTCCCCAGTGAGGGCCCTTAGTCCTAAGCGCTTTGCAGGGGCTTTCTGCGCCTCTTTGGATCCAGCAGGGAAAGTGGCTGTACCTGTCCCGTCTCCAGGAGACGATCCCTAACCACGGGGTGGCCTGACGCCCTGCAGGCACTGCTGCTTCCTCCAGCCCTTCTCTCTGTGCACAGATCTAGCTCTGTTTTTATTGTAAGCAGCTCGCAGTCCTTTCGGGAAGTAGGCGCAGGTGTAAACAAAGAGCAGCAGCCATGACACATCCTTTGCAGGCACTTGGCCATGGGGGCGAGCGCTTTCCATAAGGAGCTTGTCCACGTGCAGCTGCTTCCACTGCGAGGGGACTTCGGTGCCTTTGCCCGGCTGGCATCCCTGTCAGGTGGCTTTGGAATAAATGGGCAGGGAGGAATTAGAAAGGCAGCTAGCTGCCCGCCTACAGATCGTTGAAAGAGTAGCTCCTTTTTCTTCCTGATTAGGGTTGATTTGGGACCCTGGTCAGGACCCAGGAACGGGAGGGGAGGGCAGGAAGCTGGCACCCACCCCCCACGCCTGGGCCTGGACAGGATGCTCACCTGCAGGCTCAGCGCCGGGCTCTTTGGCAAGGCTTCTGACCAGTGACCTTCCTGAAAAGCAAGGGGGCAAGGGGGGACTCTGGGGACCAGGGTGGGGCTGTGGACGATGCAGTCTCCAAAGAGTACACAGCCCAGCTCTGGGGGTGTTTACTCTTCTTCCTCGGCGACCATGACCCTGGCATCCAGGCTTTAGGGCTTTCTAGGCCCAGGTTCACATCTTGCCTGTGATGCTTGGGAGCTCCGTGACCTTGGCGTCGTCGCTGGAGCCCAGCTCGTCATCTGTGTAATGGGAGTCGGAGCTGTGACTCCCTGGTGGGGCTGCCGGGGAGGGTAGATGAGGGAAGCATACCAGCGCGCCCTGTACTGTTTCTGGCCCAGACACATGCAGAACGGGCAGGTCTCCTCCTCCCGACTCTGTATGAACGCTTAGTCAGTTTTTGGAGCCACATGCCCAGTCCTGGCAGCGTTAAGTGTGGCTAGGACAGCAAGGCAGTCTCCCGGGGGCACGGCCCAGCCTGGGCTGTCTGCTCCCGCTTCCCACCATGTGCGGCTGTGCACCCCCTCACAGGCCCTGCGGGACACGGGCTGCCCTCCGAGGGCTCGGGAGGTGGGGCTGTGGAGACGTGAGGAGCCCTTAATCCACCCAAAGGATCACGAAGCCACCCCGAATCTAGCATGTGGAACGCTGGACACCCTCCATCTTGCAGCTGGTGCCCCCAGGCCACACCCTGCCCTCCACCAAGGCCCCTGCATTCTGAGACCCCCTGGCTGTCCAGAAGGGCCCCTCCAGCTCCTGTCCTGGCCCAGGTGTCTTGGGGGGGAGGGGTCCAGGAGCACCCCTGAAACATTAGCTTCAGGGAAGTCCTGCACCGTCTCCCTCGCTTCTAGCCAGACGTCCAGGAAACACTTGGGGGCCCTCAGAGCCCCGCCCCTGCCCCACCCCTGTCTCTCCCCCTCGGTGGCAGGGCGGTTGCCACATGGTTAGAAGCGTGTGTGTTGGGGCCTCTGTGTGTCGTCTTCCTGCGGATGGACATGCCCAGCTGGCAGTTGGCGTGTGTCTGTGGACCCCGGACGCCAGCCCGCGCATCACGTCCTCGTCCTGGCGATGCCGAGCACCTTTCAGCCTCTGGGGTTTCTCACCAGGGGACGGGCTTCCGGAGACAAAGTTCAGGCCGTGCGGTGCCCCGAGAGGGTGGGCCCAGGGCCGCAGCACGAGCTGCCTCTGCGCTGGCCGGTGGGCACTGACGCAGCTGCCAGGTGCGGGTGTCCTGAGGACTAGAGGGAGTTCCTCATACAGCGCTTAGAGCAGGGCCTGGCTCCCGGTGAGCCCCGGAGGAGGGCTTGTTCCAGGAGGAGCATGCCCAGTAGACGCCGGGAGCATTCTACAGGTGGAGCTTGAAAGGACATCAGCTTCTCAGGACGGTCGGCGGGCAGAGACTCTGGACCCGGGCCCCCGGTGTTCCAGCCACCCCTGGGAACCTTAGCTCCTCGTTCCTTTTAAGAGTTTCTGCGTTTCCTCCTTGGCTGAGAAGGACAAGCAGCCCTGGCTGAAGCACTGTAGTGCCTGCAGCTGCCACAGACGGGCTTAAAGACACCGCGATTCCACCTCCATTTACGGGCCTCGTTCTGAAAGTAGCCGGTCAGAGAAGCGCACGGCAGCAGGAAGGGGTCCGTTTGCTTGACCAAAGTGGCCCTTTAACTGGATCTCGTGGTGGGGTTGGGCTTCACCGGTGCTCAGGGGGGCCGGGGGGCAGCGGCTGCCTCTGCCCCTCTGCTGTGTTCCGCTCCCCTGAGCTGCCGGCGAGGCCCCTCCCAGCCCGAGCCTTTCCCTTTCTCCCCCTCCCCTGGTTTCGGGATCGGCCCCCACCCAGGGCCCCCCTAACCGCCTTCACTCCCCCCAGACGGGCCGAGCTCTGCACTGTCTGCGCTGGAGGATAGCGTATAAGCCATTAAGCTCATGCCGTGTGAGTCCAGCAACCAGAATGATAAGACGCCAGGTTATTCTGTGTTTTCTCAACTGCCTCTTCCCTTCGGTTTGCATGGTGGTGAGTTAGATTCACATGCCGTTAAGACGGCTGTGCATTATTTTTAATAGAAGGATGGCGGGCCCGGTGCGTGATGAAGTCTCCTCGTACGAGGCTGATGGAGGCTCCGTTCACACGTGCTGGGCCGGGCAGTGGATTGGCGCTGCGGTGACATGACTTCCTGCTGTCTGCTCACCTCTGTGCCCCTCCCCTCCCGCGTCATCTTCCCACAAACCAGGCGAGCCGACGATTACGTTGAATTACAGACGCAGTGGCCACATGCTTGGGCTCAAGCTCCTCCGGGTGCGCTGTGTCCCCAGGTCCTTGGGGACGGATGGGGTGAAGTGACGGGCAGGACGCTGGCCTTTCCCGCAGGAGCGCCAGGGGGCAGCCAGCCTCCACCTGTTTTATGGCCTCTGTGCCACCCCCTATGCAAACTTCCCTTTCAGCTTCCCCGCCAACCTTAAAAACACAGGTCAGGGATTCCCTGGTGGCGCAGTGGTTGAGAGTCCGCCTGCCGATGCAGGGGACACGGGTTCGTGCCCTGGTCCAGGAAGATCCCACATGCCGCGGAGCGGCTGGGCCCGTGAGCCATGGCCGCTGAGCCTGCGCGTCCGGAGCCTGTGCTCCGCAACGGGAGAGGCCACAACAGTGGGAGGCCCGCGTACCGCAAAAATAAAAAAACAAGAAAAACACAGCTCGTTTTATAGACTACGTGGATGTGTCCCCGGGTGTCAGGGGCCCAAGCGCCAGCCTCGACCTTGCCAGTTGCTGCACGTCTGGCGCCCCCCGGGGCCGCCAGAGGCCCCGGCCCAGGGCAGCCTCGTCCTCGCATGGTGGTTGCCCTGAGACATCCTACACGGGCGTGGACTCATGGAAGCCTCATTCACTCACTCATTCACTCAACAAACGTTTTGAGCCCCTGCTGTGTACCGGGCGCTGTTCTGGACACTGAGGACGCGGCAGTGACAGTGAGGCAGGAAGTAAATGAGAGTGTGCGTCGGGGGCTGCAGACTGGGACCGCAGAGCAGGTGTGGGGTCCACAGAGTCGTCGGGCGGGGGCTCAGGTTTGCCCAGCCGGGAAGGAATGAACAGTGCATCTGCGGGCAGAGCAGGCCGGGGAGAGGGGCGCGCCCGCGGGTCCGGGGACAGCAGGGCCCTGTGGAGCCGGGGGAGACGCGAGAGAGCGGGCCGGCCTTGCAGGCTGCGGAGAGGACTCTGCCTTTCCGTCTGCGTGAGGTGAGAGATCATTGCCGATGTTGAGCAGCACAGTGACTTGCTCTGACTTGCGTTTTTGAAGGATCCCTTTATTCCTCTGGTAAAAGAACAGACTGTGCGGAGGTCAGGGTAGAGTGAGGGCGACCCATGAGGAGCTGTCGCAGTAATCCAGGCAGGAGGCGTTGGTGGCCGTGGGGGCGAGCCCCCTTCTCTACATCGTGACCGTTCTTTGGGTGGAGAATGGGAAGCTCTCACACCTAAACCATCTCAAGCTGTAACTGAACGTTAGTTAGAATTCTTCCTGTTGCAGGTGATAGAAACCAAACTCAAACCGACTTAGACTAAAAAATAAAATCCTGGTGTGGGTCAGGCGTGGTTGGATCCAGCATCTCAGGAAGGGCCTCTCTTCCTACGGTTCGTCTCGGCTCTCCTGAGGTGGCAGAGCCACTAGTCCATCCAGGTTACAAGTGGTGGCTTCTCCCCCGTTTGCTTCATTTACTATCTGGAGTGGTCGCTGAACAGAGGTTCCCGCATCTGTTAGTTGATTATCCAGCAGCACAGGGATAAGATTTTGAGCATTTTTTAAAAATGACGCTAAGCTAAAAGGTCACCTCTCCCCCACCTTCCGGAGGCCCCCTGTGAAGAGTGAATTGTCAGCACGTTCGATGGGAAACGTGTTCGGTCCCCTGCCTTCCACTTGGCTTCCCACAACTACCCCTGACGGTGTTTTCTCTCCTTCGTAGAATTCCAGTGCCGACCATCGAGTTCGACTGGATCTGGGCCTCTGGGACAAATTCAGTGAACTGGCTACCAAGTGCATTATTAAGATCGTGGAGTTTGCTAAACGTCTGCCAGGCTTCACTGGCTTGACCATCGCAGACCAAATCACCCTGTTGAAGGCGGCCTGTTTGGACATCCTGGTATGTGGCCTGAGCCCGCCATCGGGGTGGGCAGGGAGGAGGGGTTGAGGCACCCTGGATCCCTAGCCTCTCCTTCTGCTGCCCAATGGCCAGAGGTGTCCCCGGAGCTGGACAGAAGCTTCGTATTCTCTCCCCAGTGTGGGCGCCCCTCTGTGTGGCCTGGGAAAGGGCCCCAAAACCCTTCAGTGCCACACTGTGGCTCCAGGGCCCTGGAGGGGTGAGGCCCATCCCAGCCCGGCCTCTGCAGGCCCCGGCCCCAGTGCCAGTGTCGTCGAGCAGGGAAGCCCTAGAGGTGGCAGGGGCGTGTCCCGCCTGGGGAAGTGTGTGCTGGGCCTCTGGAGGAGGTGGGGGGCAGCCCCCAGGGATGCGTCACAATGTAGGGAAGGTAAGATGAGGTTTTGAGGTGCTTTAAAAGCGTAGGTTTTTCTTTTTATTACGTCTTTCATAGCTTTGGGTATAAACAGTTCTGCAAAGCAAATACAGTAACTGTAACTAGACACACGCACACACGCCTCCCACAATCCCTCTCGGGAGGAGGGGGGCTCAGGATGGGGCAGTTGTGCAGGAAGCTCGAATGTTTGTGTCTTTTCACCAGGAGCCGGATCTTAGGAGGAGTGGTAACGGTTACTCTGTAACCTACAGGGGCCGGGGGTCACGAGAGTATCTATGATACTTTTCTTCTCATGAAATCAGAGGGTCTTGGATGGACCTAGGAACATTCAGAAAAGATGAAACATCAGAGCAGCATTAATCTGTCACATACGGGGACTGCCCTGGTGGTCCAGTGGTTAGGACTCTGCGCTTCCACTGCAGGGGGCACGGGTTCCATCCGTGCTCGGGGAGCTGAGATCCTGCAAGCCACACGGCCAAAAACCCAAAATCTGTCACATACCCACACGCTGTCGAGTTTGCAAACCTCAGCTCATCTGAGCCGCACGTGACAGAGTGGGCCGGGGGTGGAGACCCAGCCCGTTTTACAGGAGGAGCTGCAGACCAGGTGAGTCACCTGAGTGCTGGGTCGCACGCCAGCGGCGTGAGAGGCATTGCAGCTCTGAGGCCCTAGAAGCACAAGCGGGGGCTGGGCCTGGGGACAGAGCCTGCCCGGCCCCCTGGGTGAGGGGCAGCTTGCCTGTGGGTCACGATGTAGGGATGAGTTCTGGGGGCAGTGAACAACAGGGCGCCGGTGTGTCCTCACAAGTGCCGAGCGTGAGGCGCTCAGCCCAGTTTCGCCTGAGCCGCTGGACGCTGCCACGTGGCGGCACTGCAACCATGGGGTCCTGACCCTGTGCCGCATGGCCACTGCGGGGCCTGGGACCTCCCGACTCTCTGGCTTTGGCCTGTGCCTGCTTCTTGGTCCTCCTTTTGTCTGGTTGCCAGGTGGCGGCCATTTGTGATTCCCTCCCCTGCCACCCTTCGGGAAAGGACGGGTGAGAGGATGCTCTGAGGTCCTCGGGGTGGGGAGGGCCTTCTTGCCACAGCGGCAGGTGCTCAGGGATCAGGGCCCCCCCCCGGGCCCCAGCAGCCGTCTCCCCGCATCTCACACTGACTCGGAACCCGGCAGTTCTCCTCCCTTTGCCCTCGGGGGACTTGGGAAGGACAGGAGCCACTTTCCGTGACCCCTCCTGGCCTCAGTGTACCCGTGTGTAAGATAGGAATGCGAGTCAACCAGGGGAGGCCCTTCTGCGGGCTCACACGGCCCTGGTGGAGCGTGGATCAGGTGGGGGGCTCGGCAGTGAAAGCAGGGACGGGGTCGGCAGGGCACGCAGGGCGGAGTCCAGGCTCTGGGCCGGCTGTCGGGAGACCTTTCCACTGCTCCCACTGGCCTTTCGGGGTGCAGTGTGGGGTTGGCGTGCAGAGGGGAGAAGCCCTAGTGGGGGCAGGGCAGGATCTCCAGTCAGACGACACAGGCAGAAGGAATACTTATTTGGCCCCAGACAAGTTCATGTCCAAAAATTTCTAGCAAAAGCACAAGATCCTGAAAAACACACAACGTCAAAGAGCATCTCTTGAGTGAGGATATCAACTGGCTGACGGTAGAGGCGGCTTCTCAGCGAAGCCACTGGTGTGTGGCGGGAGTGGGCCCGCGAGGCGCAAGGATGGGCACACACGGGCTGCAGCTGTTCTCAGCCCCTAGGAAGGAGAGTCCCGGGGCACCAGGCCTGGCCGCGTGCTGCCCCCGTGGCCACCAGCGCCTGTGCTGTGTCTCCTGCAGGACAGGCCGAGGAGGCCTGGGCGGGGGTGGGTCTGGTTGACAGTCCCGAGGAGTCCGCCCGCACTCCCCTCCGCCATCCACCCGCGCCTCGCTCCTGGCCACGCAGCGGTGACTGCCCTGCCTGGTTTCCAGCACCATCTGCGGCTCTGGGGCCCCGCTAGGGAGGGCTGTTCCTGCGTGAACCTGTCCCCCCAGGGACTCAGTGGAGACAGGACCCCGGCCTGAGAGGGGCCAGCTCTGCTCTCGGAGGCCCAGCTGCCTGTGCCGTTGCAGGATCCAGGGTCCCTGTGAGAAAAGCCACGGCCTGCTGGCCTCAGGGTACTGAGCCGTCCCTGCAAGATGGGCGTGCTGGGACCGGACTCCCGGGCTCACACACTGGCTCTGCCTCTCCGAGCAGCCCCGCTGAAGTGGGTGTGACGGTAGCTCCTCCCCAGTAAGAGACAATGGATGGGGTTAGTGCACGGGAAGCACTTGGCTCAGTACCTGGCACTTAGGAAGAGCTCCTTTACCATAGCCGTCATCCTCCTTACCACCACCATCATCGCCGCTAAGCCCAGAGCGCCTCTGTGCACGTTCACGGACACGCGTGTCTGCACGTGTAGGTGTGCACACAGACGCCCACACGCTGCTGTCTGGAGCTGTGCTGGAGTGCAGCCAGTCTGAGTGCTGTGGTGTTAAAGGAAGTACGTGGTTTCAGACTTCGTGTTTAATAATACGAAATATCTCCTTGATGATTCTTTATGTTCTTAAAACAGTAGGTTGGATCTGTTAGGTTAACTAAAATATATTATTATTTTTTTTTTGATTTTTTATTTTATATTGGAGTACAGTTGACTTACCATGTGTTAGTCTCAGGTGTACAGCAAAGTGAGTCAGTTATGCATATACATCTATCCACTCTTTCTCAGATTCTTTTCCCATATAGGTCATTACAGAGTATTGAGTAGGGTTCCCTGTGCTCTACAGTAGGTCCTTGTTGATTATCTGTTTTATATATAGTAGTGTGTATATGTCAATCCCAAACTCCTACTAATTTATCCTTTCCCCCACCTTTCCTCTTTGGTAACCATAAGTTTGTTTTCGAAGTCTGTGAGTCTTGTTTCTGTTTTGTAAATAGGTTCATTTGTATCATTTTTTTTAGATTCCACATATGAGTGATATGATGTGATATTTGTCTTTTTCTGTGTGACTGGCTTCATTTAGTAAGTATAGTCTATAATCTCTAGGTGCATCATGTTGCTGCAGATGGCATTATTTCATTCCTTTTTCTGCTGAGTAATACTCCGTTGTATGTACGTACCACACCTTCTTTATCCATTCCTCTGTCGATGGACATTTAGGTTGTTTCCATGTGTTGGCTGCTGTAAGTGGTGCTGCTGTGAACACGGGGGCACATGCATCTTTTTGAACGATAGTTTTCTGAGGATATATACCTAGGAGTGGGGTTGCTGGATCATATGGCAGCTCTATTTTTAGTTTTTTAAGGAACCTCCATACTGTTCTCCATAGTGGCTGTATCAGTTTACATTTCCACCAACAATGCAAGAGGGTTCCCTTTTCTCCACAACCCCTCCAGCATTTATTGTTTGTAAACTTTTTCATGATGGCCGTTCTGACCGGTGTGAGATGATACCTCATTGTAATTTGATGTACATTTCTCTAATAATTAGCGATGTTGAGCATCTTTTCATGTGCTTTTTGGCCATCTGTATGTCTTTTTGAAGAAATATCTATTTAGGTTTTCTCATTTTTTTATTCTGTTGTTTTTTTGATATTGAGCTGCATGCGCTGTTTGTATATTTTGCAGATTAACCCCTTGTCGGTCACTTTGATTGCAAATGTTTTCTCCCATTCTGTGGGAGAAAATGGTTTTTTTTGTTTTGTTTATGGTTTCCTTTGCTGTGCAAAAGCTTTTAAATTTAGTTAGGTCCCATTTGTTTATTTTTGTTGTTATTTTCATTACACTAGGAAGTGGATCCAAAAAGATATTGCTGTCCAAGCATTTCTTCCAAGCGTGTTCTTCCTATGTTTTCCTCTAAGCGTTTTATAGTATCTGGTCTTACATTCAGGTCTTTAATCCATTTTGAGTTTATTTTTGTGTATGGGGTTAGGGAGTGTTCTAATTTCATTCTTTGACGTGTAGCTGTTCAGTTTTCCCAGCACCACTTATTGAAGAGACTGTCTTTTCTCCATCATATAGTCTTGCCTCCTTTGTCATAGATTAATTGACCATAGGAGCATGGGTTGATTTCTGTGCTTTCTATCCTGTTCCATTGATCTATATTGCTGTTTTTGGTGCCAGTACCATATTGTCTTGATTACTGTAGCTTTGTAGTACAGTCTGAGGACAGGGAGTCTGATTCTTCCAGCTCCATTTTTCTTTCTCAGGATTGCTTTGGGCATTCGGGGTCTTATGTGTTTCCATACAAATTTTAAGATTTTTTTGTTGTTGTTCTAATTCTGTGAAACATACCATTGGTAATTTAATAGCAATTGGGTTGAATCTGTAGATTGCCTTGGGTAGTATATTCATTTTGACAATATTGATTCTTCCAATCCAAGAACATGGTGTATCTTTCCACCTGTTTGTGTCATCTTCAGTTTTGTTCATCTGTGTCTTATTATTTTCAGGGTACAGGTCTTTTGCCTCCTTAGGTAGGTTTATTCCTAGGTATTTTATTCTTTTTTATTGCAACGATAAGTGGGATTGTTTCCTTAATTTCTATTTCTGATCTTCCATTCTTAAGAAATGCAAGAGATTTCTGTGTATTAATTTTGTATCCTGCAA